TGTACTTTTATTATATAATATTTTTCAATAATTTTTATATCAATATGCTACATGTCCATTACTTTATAACTATGTAAAGTTTCATTAAAATCCAACATGATTAATCCTTATTCCGATACCTCCTTTAACAAATATGATTTATACTTTACTCAATTATTTTGGATCTATGTTTGATGTTTTGGTCAATTATTTAAATATTGTTATTATATTCAGTTTAAAAGCGGTTTTGTTTTTATATATAATAAATTTATTTAAAATTAAAAGATATATTAATCCCAAAAGAAAAAGTGTTATAATAACTGGTATAGTATTGATATTAAATAAAATAAAAATTAAATTCATTTATTATTATTATTTAGGCTGTGATTCAGGTTTTGGTAATCGACTGGCGTTTAGATTAAATGAATTGGGATTCAGAGTCTATGCGACCGTTTTGAGTGAACAAAGTGTCGCTCAGGACTTGACCACAAAATGCAAGTTTGCGGACAATATGTGTGTTTTGGAAATGGATGTCACAAATGAGGAGCATATCGACTATGATTTTGTTGAGTCAGACCAACGGACCAGTGGTTGTATGTTGTGGGCAGTGGTCAACAATGCGGGTGTCATGTCATGCGGTCTATTAGAGTGGGGCTCTCGACGTCATATTAACCGTATGTTTGAAACCAATGTGTTGGGTGTGATTGAAATGACCCGCACTTTCATACCACTGTGTTCGGCATTCCCGGGGTACGTGTCCGATGAACCAAAAACATACAAATAGCTAACAACACATGAAATCCTAAGGTCATGAAAGACAATTTAATGACTTTTCATTTGATACTAAAATCATACTGGTTAAATATCAGTACATCTTCTATTGAGTTATATCGATATGGACATTATAATAGATGCTATTTCTGAGAACTGATGTTTTTTACAAAGTTTCCCATAATTTTACATAAATATAATATTTAATTTTATTTGGCATCAAATGAGAGATTATTAAATTTGTATTCATGTCCTTAGTTTGTATTTTACCTACTATTCTGTGACCAATAAATTAAGATGTTCAAATATACAAAAATAAATCTGTTTTTCATGCTTTGAACACCATTATCTCTAACAGGTTCATAATTACAATAAAAATCAAAATGATTAAGAATTATACAAATATTTTTAATAAATATCATATATTTGTCTTATCACTCGATAGTACTAGTATTTATTAACTTATTACTAAATATTTGTAACCAAATATAACCAAGTTCATAACCAAGTATTTGCTTTCAGAGATGTTTTGCTGTTCTGCTGTTAGCTATTCAGCTATTCATATGTTTTTAATTATATTTTTTGATCCAATTTAAGGCCGTATTATCAACACATCAAGTCTTGTCGGAAGGATAACCGCTGATTACGTGGGCTATTATGCGATCACTAAGTGTGCCGTCAATTCATTCTCGGATTCCCTGCGCCGGGAGATGAAGAAGTTTGGAATCAAAGTGTGTACAATAGAGCCAGGTGCTTTCAAAACATCGTGTTATCACTATATGACTGAATCAGTTACTAATAATTGGATACAAAGTTCGGCTGAAATTCAGGACATTTATGGCGAAGACTTTTTCAGACAACAAATCTCCAGATTAAGGAAAATCAATTCAAAGATCAGTGCCGGCGATGACATCGATATTGTGGTGAATGATATGATTGACGCCATTTGTAATGAGTGTCCGAAAGTGTCTTACCGTCCAATAAGTGGTCTATTCTTCAGAATATTCCGATTCTTTACTTACGTTCCGATCCTATGGTTCGATGGGTTTCACTATATTCTCGACAAAACTATTCCCGATTTTGTCAAAAATAAAATCATATGTAATAATAGGTATTGTTTTAGTGATCATACTTATAATTACATTAAACATGGTAGTTATCGATTAAAAATAATGACTAATATTTTTACTTATAAACATATTAGCATTTATCAAGTTTTTATAATAAAATAAATTATAATAGTTTTAAAATTAAAAACATTTATTTATGTAAATATTTAATAGCATTTGAAAAATAATGTTTTAATTCATAACAAACTTCTTAATAACAAAAGCGACGAAAATCAACAAAATTAGCCGAAAGGCGTTGAAATCAAACGCAGAGTTTGTATGACTGGTTGTGATGTTAACGTATCGGTGAGTGATATCCGTCTCATTGACGGTCACCACCCGATACCCACTGTCGGCATTGCGTCCATCCGGTGATTGGGCGCCGATAGCAGAGGTGACCACAAGCTCCAGGTCCTCGTACTTACCGCCGGCGTTGCGGTGATAATGGCCGGCAAATATGGCGCGAACTCCCGCCTCATAAAACTTACTGACCATCCGGTGTCGGGTAGTGTTCTCGATGTTGAACTGCAGTTTCATATAATATTTTTAGTGATTATTTATAATTAAAACTTAATTATTATATTATATTACATAACTAATGCTGTAAAGTTAATCACCTTTTAAACATTCAAAGTATTTTAGAAAATAAACTATTTAGCTATCTATACTAGTAATTTAATTTTTAACACGATTGCAAATATTTAGTTAAACCCAAAGTGTTACACAAAGAATCTGTAAAACTAAGTCATTAAAGTTAACTACTACAGTATTAGTGTTATCTGGATAATTTTTGTTTATTTCGAATTAATTATCACAATTAAAAAACAATATCTGTTTTTATCTATTTTCTGTGTTATATCTAAATGAAATCGCAAAATTAATCCTTTAATCACTCAAATACTTATGATTATTAAAATAATACAATTAGTTTTCATATCTAACACTAAGTACCGGTAGTTATAAAATAAATGTACATTACATGTATTGCCAATTTTATAATAATATAATTACCATTTCATCCAATGGTTCGTTAATATCCCGCAGAAACCACGGGATGTGTTGGAAGACAATCACGTGCTTATAATTACCACTCTTGGCCTCAGCTAACTGTTTGTCAATCCATGCCTCCTGTTCCTCATACAGGCCCTTCACATGAGTGTTGTCTTTATAAAACTGAACGTTAATCACAATAAACATAACGCCGTCGATCCAGAAGGTAAAGTAGTCGTCACCGAACGTAGTCTTATAGGCCGTCACCGATTCCACGGTCGGACTGTTCAGAAAGTCGTGATTCCCTCCTATGGATTGTGAGTGAGTGAGTGAGTGAGAGAGAGAGAGAGAGAGAGAGAGATTTAGTAAGAAACTAAAGTATTTGTAATATGAGAGGTCATACCCAAGAGCACGAGTGGTATATCATTGTCCAGCTTTTCAAACACTTTCTTAAAGTCTGTG